GTATCTCTTTATTTTATGTTGCTTAATTGCATTGAATTGCATGTCCCTTCTTGTGCACAACCCAGAAGCTTTTGTGATTCTTTGCAGCAAAAATTACCGACCTCTGGCTTTGCTCTACTTTTCAAACATGCCGACACTGCCGCGTTTTAGGTGCTGGCCCCACAGGTCCACCCCATTGAGCCTGCTGCACTGGAGGGACCTGCCCAAGTAAGTCAAGTCAATGGGGTGAGCCTGAGAGAGGGAAAGAGAGAGAAAGAAAAGAAAGAGAGAGAGAGAGAGAGAAAGAATAAAAGAAAGAGAAAAGGGACAGAAAGAAAAAAGGGACAAAGAAGAGGGGGGCTTGGAAGGAAGGGACAGAAAGAAAAAGAAATAAAGAAGGAGGGAGGGAGGAGAAAGATAATGAGATATCTATTCTAGTCTAATCACCTGCTCCAGCAGGGTTAGAAGGGAGTGTGTGTGTGTATGTGTATTCTCCTTGTAATCTACCAGTACATTTTGGTTTTGCCTTCTTCAGAATTGCCACTTTAATTAATACATTGGGGAAAAGTAATTTTTAGAATGGAGATCTGGTCCAATGGATCCTGCTTAAAGCCTCAACAAAATGTGAGAGCTTCCTGATAGTCTTGACCATGTTTTGTCCGCAAAACCTTTAAGAGAAGCCAAAGATGTTTCAATGTGCTGGCAAAAATGTTTCAGTGTGGAAAAGGGCCTCAGTCTAAACTAGGCCTCATTTCAATCTGATGCATCAGGTCTCTCTCTCTGTCTACCTCCCTCCCTCCCTCCCAGACTGGCTTTGCTTTACTTTCCCAGTGTGCCTGCAGGGCTGGTGCTTTGAACATGGATAGATGGATGGATAGACAGACAGACAGACAGACAAAGACAGGTAGGTAGGTAGGTAGATTGGTAGATAGATAGGTAGATAGGCAGGCAGGCAGACAGACAGAAAGGCAGGCAGACAGACAGGCAGACCTATGGATGGATGGATGGATGAATGGACGGACCGAAAGAAAGAATGCAACAGCAGTGGCACTTTGAAAAAGTTAGTAGAGCAAAGCCAGAGTGGGAATTGAAGTCCACAGAAATTGCCAAGGTTGAGAAACACAGGCTGAATATATCAACCCAGCCATTCTGGTTTAGAGTTTAGCATGCTGTTTGATTCTGGCTTAGTCAATGAATAAACCATGGCTAAGATCTTCCTGCTCCTTAATGCAGCTGCCCCCCTGCCCCTTCTCCACCCCCCTGCAGCTGCCCCCTCTGCCCCTTCTCCAGCCCCCTGCAGCTGCCCCTTCTGCCCCTTCTCTAGCCCCCTTTGGCATCCAATTTTGCAATGCCAACCTCCCAGGGGCAGCGATGCAGATGACCTCATCCTTTTTGCTTCAACCCAAGGTCTATTTCCATCGGGCCAAGCAAGGGGAGCTACTCTGCAAACGCTCAGAGACTTCCAACTTCAGTGAAGCGTTCCGTCCATCTTTATGCTCTACCCAGGGGGAGGAAGGCATGCGGAAGCAGCCCAGACTGGCGGAGGTGGAGGGAACGATCACTTGGAAACTAAGTAAGCAAGCAAGCAAGCACAGGGCTCGGTCGGAAGAACTGGGCTGCAAGAGGGAGGCTAGGTTCTAGGTCTGGGACGGCCACCTAGAGGCGAACCGAACCGAGCCACGCACCTTGGAGAGCCGCAGCTGCACCCACCCGCATCCTGCGTGCAAGCCCGGCTGGCTGGAGAGTCAATGGGCTGCATAGCCGGCAGTCAGTGAGCCTGTGGGGCCGGCACCTCGAACGCCCCCCTGTCACCTCTTAACGCCCCCCTGCCAGCCCCCTTGCCTCTTACCACCCCCTAAGGCATCCCGCCCCCCCCCAGGGGGCGGTACCGACCACTTTGGGAACCACTGGTCTATAGTGTGGACTATATATATATATATATGAATGCCCTTCTTTTATTGTAAGATCTTCTCTTTAGTAATAAACAACCTTTCTCTTTTCCCATTGTTCAAATAAATTATAAGGAGAGTAACCATTAAAGAACTTATGTGAGCTTTTTCAGCAAGAAGAGGCCCTATCTTTTAAAAATGGGGATTAAGTTATCCTTTTCATGGAGAAATTCTGAGAACTCTTCAACCTTGTTTCTATGTTCATAAATGTATGGAGGTCATGCTAACTCTTATTACACAATTAAATTTATCCACATAGGCAACCCACAGGTTATATATGAGTCTAAGCAGGGGCATCAAAGGAGAAATAAAAGGGGACAAATGAGAAATGAGAATTCTGAATTTTCAGTGCAAACTCCTTTTGAATTTGAATCATGGCTTAACACACACAAAAATTGTGTTATGGTATTGCAGGGTATGTTTTTATCATTTTGACAAAATCTCTAATTCCTGCAGATGCCCAAGATTCCAGTGACTTGAACACAAAATCATGGATGCCTTTGACCCTCTTCTTTTTCCCATAAAGTACAGCAGTCCTACAATTATTCTCTTGTTTTTACTTTTCTTGCTGTTTATTTTGATTTGTTCTCACTGCCAGTACTCCTCAGCCTTGTCTTGAACTCATTACCTCCATGGCAGCACATTTTCTATGAGACCTTGTCCTACAAAACTCAGCAACCATTGAGTCTTCTCAGTATAGAAGCCAAAACATATGACTGGAAATCTTATGAGAAGAGTCAACAGGATTAAGTGAACTTTATTCAAAGTGCTAAGTTTGAGCAATGAGAGGCTGAACCAGAGCATGAGTGCAACAATACTTTATTATACAATAAAGGGCTGACCGTGCTTGCCACGCCTGGAACTGGCTCGCAGCAATCAGCAACTGGTTGGACCCCGCAGCCTGCTTTTATAGCTGGCTGCTGGGGAGAACCAACCAATGGGAATGGGGGAATAACGCCCACACAAAGTGAGTGGACCTGAGTGAGAACTCCTAGAGTCCTCAGGACATAACACCCCTTCCCCCCAGATGCGAACATGCATAGTCCTTGAGGTAGACGGGGGGTTTGTGTTGGCGCCCGGAGCGGCGCAGCTCGGGAACATTGTCTGTCTGTTCGGTATCAGTCTGTGACGGTTGAGCCGGCATAGTGTCGCCAACGCTCTCTCCGGACTGGGCATCCTCGGAAACCATCGGGTTGGTTACTGGGGTCGAGCTCTCGTGGGTTGGATCAGGCTGGTCAACCCTCTGGGCGCTGTTGTCCGAGTTTGGGCTGACCGGAACGACCTGTGTCTCAATGCCTAACACAAAATCATAGGCCTTGCATTCAAAATCACAGGCCTCGCAACATGTGTATGTTTTGCCACTGCCTCCACTGGGTGCCCATATAAACAAGAATGTCATAGAGGACTTCTGAAGGTTGATTAACATATCCACATAAGTCAGTATACAGAAAGGTTTGTCATTTTAAAAATAACTAGACTTATATAATAAGATTACATAAAATGATGCAATAAATCTATTTTTATGCTTGATAGATTTAAATTAATAAAATGTATCCTTCCGTGTAAGTTCAGTGGTAGAAAATATGACAAAATAGATATAGGCCCTTTCTATTTTAAAGTAACAAAATCCACAGATTAGATGTTCACCAGATGACTGAAATTTATTGGCAATAATAAAGTTGTAACAGTTGTCAAATCCAATCAAGTATTCCTACAATATAGATTAAATAACAAGAACATAATAGAATAAAGCAAAACAAACTTCAGGGATCAGTAAGAACTATTTGTGTACTTTTACAAAGGATTACTGTGAGTGTTTCTGTTTGGATACCATTTTATGAATATACCTTTTTAGTAATTAATTTCAATTTTTAATAGTTAAGTCTGTAATGTATTTTTTTTAAAGTAATGTTTATTTTAGTAATGTTTTTTTTAAAAAATGGTATATATTTATATCTGCATCTTTATATGTGCATGCAGACACTTGTGTTTGGAAATTGTTTGAAAGGTGTTGATTTCGACTTTAATTTTAGTAGACTTCATATTTACAATTGTCCCATGACAGATTCAGTCAAACATGTACCCTTATTAAGAAAAAAGATTATGTGGATTGGTAACAAAGTCTTTTTGAAAATACAAATAATCCTATAAATGGCTTAAGAGCAATGTAAATTGTAAGTGTACCCTCAAGGATAAGTTTTGTTGGGCAAAGTGACATTTGTTTGCTTCTGGAAAACATTCATAATCAAGCTACTTGAACATCACTCTTCTATTTTCATTAATCATTGGCTCTCAAAGTGCTATCCTTTTCTTTCCATCTTGGAAGCCTGAACATTCTGATTTGGAATTTCAGAAGGCTTTCCCATGTCAGTGACAACCTTAATAGAATCCAATTAGTTCCACAAGGCACTTTCTGGTGCACAGGCCTTTAGCTTGATTGCGGTGACTGGTGGGTATTTCCTGTGTTTAAGCCCACATATGGATTGAGTAAAGCAATGGCAGGAGGACTACTGTTTTGCCTTCACTGCATCTATCTTTCTTTCTTTCTTTCTTTCTTTCTTTCTTTCTTTCTTTCTTTCT